TTTTTTTTTTTTTTTTTTTTTTTTTTTTTTTGCAAGACGTTTGTTGTTTTGCTGTGTCAAAATAAGACCCAACATGAAAAATCAGCTATTCAAAAAATTAGCGAATTTTCGTGCGGCGAGAAAAATAGCAACAAGTGTCACTAGCTTTTTTATCCGTCTCTCTCGGTTCGATCCTACCCGTTCCTTTAACTTTAACGGTAAAGTGCGGTTTGAGGGAGGGAGTTTGATAATTGTTAACAAATACCTAACAGTTAATAACGAAAGTGCAATCAGAAATTCATGAATAGAGTGCATACAACATCCCCTCAATAATTTTGTAAGAATTGCACAAATTAGTAAGTTCAGTAGATCTCAGTAGATCTACAAAATTTTGCACTGATCTATACAATTTTGTTAGTTAGCTTTTTCGCGGATAGTTGGTTTACACTCTAACATATTTAGATTCAATTATCTTAAGAATGAGGTTGTCTCATAAATACTTAATATTGCATCATGAATTGCGCATCACCATTTAACTTCGTTTTGGCTTCTAAAGGCCTGTTAAATGGCTCTAGCGCGCGAGCAAAGGCAATAGGGTCACCCTAATATCTTCATGTAATCGAAATCCTAGTTATGACTATTATAATTTATCGCGCTGATTCAAGATACAAGTCACTCTGAGTATTCAGAATCTAAAAGACAACCCTTATGGAAATAACTGCATATTAAAATGCAATAAATATTTGAAAGACTCGTTTGTCTCACAATTTGTACAAAGATAAGAAAATGTCCAAACACTGGAATGTCTGGGAAGTAACGTTATTTTAAGTACCGGTGAAAAGCGGTAACGGTGTTAATAAATAAAGAAACTTAATTTAATAGTAAAATGTGAGTTTTAAGAACTATCTAAAGACGCAAGAATGATAGCTGCTGTTCTTGCATGACTGGTGAAATTTAGCGGGCGCGTGGTGTCGCGCCGCGCCATGACTGGATGATATCGTGACTGTGTGTTTCATTGATTCTGATTGGATGAGCAGTAAACTAAAGGATTTTTCGCGAGCTATGATTGGTTTGTCCTTTTAGAAAGTTGCAAAGCTCCAAGTAGCTCTATATGCCGTCAACAGGACATTTTGTTGCCTACTAAGGCATGTCCTCGAAGCAGCTAGGCATACCATCTGGATGATATATATAGCTTCAATCACTATAAAATTCTTTTGATTTCTTGAATTTCAAATTTGCCTACTAAAGCATGTCCTCGAAGCAGCTAGGCATACCATCTGGATGATATATATAGCTTCAATCACTATAAAATTCTTTTGATTTCTTGAATTTCAAATTTGGCGTGCACTGGTGGGGTGTTACTGTTTTCTTCCGCCTTGGTCCTATGAATGCATCACACTATAAAAAAGAGACATTTCAGTGAACCATTGATTTTAAGCTTGCACATCATGTTCTCCACATGTTATCTACTGTACCTTGCTATAGCCTGTCGCTCTATTAACGTACATTTTTGAAGCTGCTTACTAAACACGGAGATTTCTGAAAGAGAGAATATATACCAATTTAGCCCTGGTGTGTGTAGTGCGATATACTGGATAAAAGATTCCAATACCTTGATCGACTTTAGCCTCGTACATGTTCTGTAAGTTCCGTAGAAAATCTGCAAATACTGCAATAAGGGCCGACTGATCCTGGTTTGAATGTACCAAGAATAAATATCAGTAAAAATGCCTCCAGGGAAAGGAGGCAAGGGGGTAAAGGAAGGGAGTGGGTGAAGGGGAGGGCAAAGAAAATGGGGTGGAGGAGGGGAAGAAGAAGAAGGGAGACGCTGTGCGTCGTGGGACTGTTTTGCCTGACGAAATAAACGCCATCTTGGAAATATATCCCTAAAAAGGTCCCACAATGCACTACAACACCAGCAATACCAACTTAACCCAGTCTTTTCCTCAACCTCGGAATGACTAATAGTCTCTTCTTAAGTATTTAAATTATGCAAATCATAACCTGAGTATCAGGCTCTCTTGGGGGGAGGGGGAGGGAAAAAGGGGAAGATGAGAGAGACCTTCCTTCCCTTCTTCCCCTCCCCCTCTCCCAACCCCTCCCCAGCCGAGGCCTGATTCTCAAGTTATGCAAATCAGAGACACGTAATGTCTATGCCCTCTGTTAGTTAAAACAACATGCTTACCTCTTCTTCCTCTTCCCAGCTATCCCAGTCAGACATGTCTGATCCTTCATCGTCATTCTGTGGAGCCATGCGTGGGGTTCCTCTACCACTACCATGTGATGCATCTAGAGCCACGGACTCACGCAACAACCCAACATTATCCACTACAAATAGACGGGCAAAATAGTAAGTGGATTTAAGTAGGATTTGTTATTATATATTTAACAAATTTACGATGGTTGAGCGTGGTATGTCCTCTTATTTACCACGATATGACGTCAAAAGTTGGTCAAAATGTTATGGACTCACGAGGCGTAAGCCGAGTGGGTCCATAACTAATTTTGACCAACGTTTGGCGTCATATCGTGGTAAATAAGAGGACATACCACGCTAAACCATCGTAAATTTGTTTTTTACTACAAAACTCACAAAACTCTAGGAAATAGACTGCACGAAATCTTGCATGACGCCATTTGTTGGTATGGCCTCTTATTTACGTTTTTTAACCAATCAGCGCGCGAGAAAATTTACAATTGTGGTAAAATATCCAGTTTTAGTTTTCCATTCCTTCTCTTCTTCTCTTATTTACATGATCATGCATTATCTTCACTGTCAACCACAACAGCGCCATCATCACTCTCATCATCGACATTATCATCAGCAGCATCATCCCCACCACCAACATCATCAGCATGATCATCAGCTGCCACATCATCATCATCATCACCTCCATTATCATCACTATCATCAACGCTATTATCATTATTATCCCCATCCCTATCAACAGCAGCATCGTTACTACCTTACCATCTTAACATACAATACATCACGTGACTCAAAGTATTCTATGTACTTATTACCAGACTCCTCGTCCTCCTCGTCCACAGGGATGCCTGGCTCATCTACAGGGCTAGTAGGGATATCATTACTAAGTCTGTATAGGTCTGGTGTGTTTGTTCGACTTGGACTCTCCTCACCAATCAAGCGAAGAAGATCTGGTTCCTAATACACACAATAAAAATAAATAGAGCCAATACTTTGATTCAACTGCTTTTGAAAGAAACGAAGGACACTCACTTGCCCCTAGGGTTACGTTTGAGCAAAAGGTATTGCCAGCTAAAATAACAAAGGTCTAAAAAGGTCTAGACAAACACAACAATTTGAATACTGTACTCCCATTTCGAGTTCACCTTTGCTTAGCCTTAGCCTCAATGGCGTACAAATGTGCTCTTTTCTCTTATTTAGGCAGATCGTATAGTAGGAATTTACGCACTGCAGACCAAGACAAGTTGATTAAAATGCCATAGGTTTTTGTTGAATGACTGAATATTTTTAATGTGGTTAAATGAAATTTAGGCAAAGTTAGACTCGATCTGAGTAGCAGCGAATAGTCTACGACAGCTGTTGTTTCCATTTGTTGTCTGCCCGCTTACAATCACCTAACGCCAAGCTCATCTACTAGTGATGAGTTTAACGCACAACCGACGCTAAAGCTGAGCAACAGAGAACTCGAAACTGGAGTATTGGTAGGTTGAACCAATGTTAGGAATACTCCAATTCCCTAGTGCAGAAAGAGAGGGAGAGTTACTCACATAGTCGACTCTTTGGCTGATGGCTCTGAAGATGTGGGTCAATGTTGGCTGGTCCAGGAATTCGCAAGCCTTCAGTGACATTTCTAGTAGCTGTCTCAATGTGGTCAGATCTAAAGGCTGTAGAATGAATATTGAAAAGATTACACTGAAGTACTGTAAGGAAAATGATTACTGATCACGTCTGAGTCACGTCTGACTGTGAAACCAGGGGCAGATCCAGGGGAGGGGTGCAGGGGGTGCGCACCCCTCCCTGGATACACTTTGTGCTCCTACTTCGAAGATAACCAATTTTGTTTTTTGCCCTTTGATTCTAAGGGGTGCACCCCTCCCTGGGTTAACATTGTGCGCAGCACCCCTCCCTGAACAAAATCCTGGATCCACCCCTGGAAATGGCACAGTTACGGTACGGAATGCGGAATGAATTAACGATCTCTGTTGGACCAATAACAGTGCGCAAGATCGCTGGTCGCCCATTCAAAACGCTTGGCAACGGCACCGCCATTATCAATGTACGGCATGTTGGCAACTTGATTTTTTCAGCCATACGAAAATTGCTCTTATTCTAATCTACAACTAGACCCAACCTAGGAGTAACTGTTATATGTTCCAGGCGAAACAAGTAAAAGGCGCGCTCGCGGAATGCATAGAAAATTTGTCGGTCCAGTTCTCCCTTACTTGCTCCTTAGTGTTTACCGTGTGATAAGATCAAACTGGGTCGAAATTTGCCACGTGCATGATTTTTAGTTGTTTTACCTTAGTAGACATGATAACTTCACTGACACCGATCAAAGCATAGTTAAAGTACGTCTGTACCAGGTCATGGATCGACTCTCTGGAACACAAACAAGTGATAAAATATATATATAGGATTAGTATAAACCTACTAATGGACTATCACTAATCCTGTGCTCTGATTGACTGAGCTATTTTAAGTGATAGACCAGCTAAAAGTAGCGGTTTTGAAAACCAAAACAACGCAAAAATAAATGATTTCAACCTAACTTCAACATCATTTGCACTCATTTATTTGCAAAATTTTCGCCCTTCAAGAAGTGAGACCCCGTATATTACTGTTAGGCAGGCTAAGAAGCACACTAACCTGTCCTTGCTAGTCTTGGTAAGCTCCTTCGTTCTGGACAAGATATACTGCAAACTGATGGTAGAGCAATTATATCATAAATCAATGTGAATGGTAGGTGCTACCAAAGATATATAGAAAACCCGCAGGAAGTCTCCATATGCCCTGACCCGAGAAGTGGAGGTATAGAAAACCCGCATGAAGTCTCCATATGCCCTGACCCGAGAAATGGAGGTATAGAAAACCCGCAGGAAGTCTCCTCATACCCTGACCCGAGAAGTGGAGGTATAGAAAACACGCGGGAAGTCTCCATATACCCTGACCCGAGAAGTGGAGGTATAGAAAACCCGCTTGAAGTCTCCACATACCCTGACCCGAGGGGAGGAGGTATAGAAAACCCGCGGGAAGTCTCCATGTACCCTGACCCGAAAGGAGGAGGTATAGAAAACCCACGGGAAGTCTCCATGTACCCTGACCCGAGAGGAGGATGGGAACCCCCTCCCCATTGTCTTCTCTCCGTTTCCCCACTGGGATTCCCGTGATGGGGGGTCAGGGGGTAACAGTATCGGGTATGCTAATCGTATCTCTTAGGGGTAAAAATCAGCGATTTGATATCTTTTAGATCGGAAAAAAATGAAATTTAGAATTTCGGGGTTAAAAATCGTCCAACCACGCCCTTTTTAAAAGACTTCCGGTATCTTTTAGTTCCCCTCTTCCGGGCTGGGTCCTATGATTCCCTGGATAGTCTCCAAACTGGGCAGTAATGAAATATTTCCTTGTTTATATTACAGTCATACACAACGTGGGATAATCTACCATAACTGGGATTTTATTAGAATGACAATTTTAATTTATTCTTACCCATCCACTAGAGAATGACAAATGGCAGTCTCTTCTAAGAATACTTCGATATAATGGATAAGAACAGGGAATACTACAACCTAAACGACAAGAAACGAAATTTTAAACAACAAAAAGAGACTGAAAAACAAAATATAAGGGCTGAGAGCTACACACACTCCATGCTTACCACTTTGTCTACTTGATTGGTTTTCAAGAAATTCTTAAATGCTATGTGAGCTTCTGAGAAAAAGTGCTTGCCAAACTATAAGAAACAAAAAAACTTGTCATCGCTTGTTACCACTGCAGGTACACCAGTGGCGCAGCTCAACGGGATCGAACTGAAAGCACGTAAAAGCATAAAGAGATAGCGAGAAAGAAATAAGTCGGCACAATTTACATATGATAGTAATATGGACTGACATGTCTCTATCCTGAAGAGTAAGAACCCATATAGAACCATCAACGAGAAGATAAATAGTGTCATTTGGATGTTGTTTGTTCTCACCTGTTGAGCGTTTTTCTCGGTGGATTCTGGTCTTGTAGAACAACTGTGTGAAGACAGAAAAATAGAGCACTTGGAATCAACAAACGATATTATAACATCAGCTAAGTATTACTCCATTATCGTTACATATGAGACACTGTTATTCAAAAGGACCCACAATTTTTTAATTATTTATTATAATTTTATTTATTTATTTATTTTAATCTGTGCTAGGATTCTGTAATGCTTACCTTAAGAAGCCATCTAGAGGGATATTGAATGGAGCTGTTTGTATATGACAAAAAGACTTTAAAGACGAGCCTAAAATGATATCAAATAAAAATGACGTGTCAAATTTTAAATTGGTGATTCGTGAGTTATCACGTGATGACTATGACGTCAAAGGATTGAACGCGAAATTTGAAGTAAATAAAACTTCGGGCAACGCTATTCAAAACTTGGTTAATATTAACCCTAGCTCAAGACAAGACGTATGTAAAGACTTTAATTGTTTTCAGATATGCAAAGACAATTGAAAATTTGAGCCTCCTCAAGTAAGTATTGGTGAAAAAAAAGAATAAGAATAAAATAAGAAATATAGTAAAACTGACTTACTCAGAGGCTTGTCTGGGAATGAATAGGCAAACGCACACAATAACATAGTTAGAATCTGATCTTCTGCTTCGAGTTTCTACATCAGGGGAAGAAGAGAAAGAAAAAAATGATCAGCTAATTAGATAAAGATTTGTGGTGTAAGCTGCAAAATCAGGGAAGCTTACTGTGTGGATACTCCGATCGGGACCACTATGATAAATTAGTATCATTAACCAAAAAATATTGCGACATTTAGTTCATCATAGTTTAGCGCATCGAGATAATAAGAGAGTGAGAACGTGTTGATTTAATTGGCTAACACAATTTCCAGGTCCAGGTGAGCAACAGTACAGTAATTACTTGAGCGCTTTTTGTATGGATGGGAAACTAATCGCTTCTCATTCATTTAAACACTTGGTACAGCACTATCGCCAAAGACGCGGCACGTCCCTATCGTTTGATATTCACAATCATCACATGAGCTTTCCTCTGACAGTAACAATTCTCAAAGAATGTAGATGGTACATTACATCATCACAATGAAATGGCTTCCCATCATGTTTAGTAAGATATTTATCTAATGCAGTATTACACTTAGACAGATGTAGATATAGGAAAACGTGGCATAAGTATGGTAGTGTTAAGGTACCTGGTCAACGCCCAAACTAGAGTGGAAATAAAGATGAGACAGCATAATCGTTTCCATGGCTACTACTGAAAGCTTGTCGTAACCAGAGTATTTTAAGATTCCATGGACCTGCAACATATCCATACAAACACGATAACACTGTAAGACATTTTGACAAGAAAGTAAGAGACGATTAACAGGAAGGGAATCATACCTTGCTAAGCCAGATTTGGAGACCTTTCTTCACTTCATTAACAATTAACATGGCAGCACGACTGCAGCGCTCTGGGTCCTACAAAATACACCATTATTGTTACTGTCATCACTATCACTGTCATCATCATCATTGCCATCATCACTGTAATCATCAGGGGTAGATCCAGGATTTTTTCTAGGGGGTTGGGGGTGCACCATTCAGGATTTTCGTTTTAGGAGGGGGTGCACCCTTTGCTTACAAACTCAAACACCAATAATGCAGAAGATATTAGCTCATCTGGGGGTGCACTCCCCCTGCAACCCCCCCCCCCCCCCCCCCCCCCCCCCCCCCCAGACCCTAGTAATCATTATCATTGTCATCATCAATATATTTATTATCTTCATTATCGTCATCATTATCACCATTATCATCATCATAATCGTAGTCATCAGCATCATCACTAGACAAGTGTCATCATCATCATCATCAACATTATCATCAGAGTCATGGTGATTGTCATCATCATTATCATCAGAGTCTTGGAGATTGTCATTATTGTTACTGTATTTAATGTTTAATCATTTGGTAGAGAGATTTTAAATAATCCAAAATAAAGTGTGTTTTACTGTGATAAAGAATTATACCTTCCATGTAGATGGTGGTTGATCAAGATAATATCTTAACCTCCCAGCATGAGATATAGAGTTCCTCAAGGCAATACAAGCCCCATAACACAGTAAGGTATTCTCTCTTGTAAGGTGATGGTCCCATAAGTAAGCTAGAGGTGCCATATTGAACCATCGTATAGTCTCTGCCACTACAGGAAGAAGCTAGAAAAAAGTACTATTGATATAAGAGATTTAGAAACAGGAGACTGCAGTACACTCTGCAACCTAGTCTAGTGATGGTACAATTAAAGTGCACCTAACCCCTGATACAATACTTTCAGTATTGATTCTACATAATGTGAATAGTTGAATGGTGAAATATTTCTTCATTCATGCATTGCATGTTTAAGTTATAAAGGTTTATACTTCCAAAAAGTTACTGACTGTGACGTAACCCCAGACTTCATTCAACATATAAATTTTGACTGGTTCATACAAACAGTATTTCAAAAGCATCATTATTACACCCAAGGTTTCCACAATGTTTATTGTAAATTTAATGTCTCATAATGGCTAGTCTGACTTGAGTATTGAAAATTTAAAAAAATACACTCAAAAGCCCGGAGTGATGTCACAGTCAGTAACATATTGGGAAATCCAAAGAAAAAATATATTTCACTTTTCAACTATTCACTTTATGTAGAATCAATAGTTAAAGTACTGAATCAGGGGTTAGGTGCACCTTAAGGGTTAGAGGGCTAGGCTAGGACAAGAAAATTATTGTCTTACCTGCTGTCCCATTCTACGCAGCTCCCATCTAGAATCACCTAAACATTCTACTGTCTGGAAAAGGATCTGCAATTAAAAACAAAAATTATTTACCATCATTATATGTTGAAGAAAATATGGCCCAAGTCAGTCAGTGCGAGTGTGGGTTAGTTCGTATGACGCGAGAGAAAGAGCATGCATGTGCGTATGTGCTAGAGAATTAAGAGAGTGATTTTTTTGAAAAACATTTTTTATTGGTATAAATTTGTGCAATTACATTATGTTTTATCTCTTTCATATATAATCTTAGTCATAGACTTACATACCTGAGTAAGGACACAAGTAAGAGACTCTAGTTCAAGGTGTACAGCCCATTCAGGTAAATTATCCCTAGACAGACTTAAAACCATTAGAAATTAATCCTGTATATTGTTAATAAAAGCACTATGTGTGTTGAATCAATTTAGGAAAAGTGTGATCATACATACTTGTCTTTACTTGAATTATCAGAAGTCATCCCTTTGTTGTAATGCAACAAACCATCTGCTGTTAATAGAAGAATGACGTTTGTTATTTAATATTGATACATAAAGTAGACATTTCTATTATAATGAATATTGAATACTCGTATGTTGGCCATGTTGAGTGATCCAACAACTCAACAAGGGAATTTGGTCTTAACCGGTATTGAGCATTGAACTTGCAATGGTAACAGTTTGATGCTTAGACCCCTAGTCCCATCCCCTTCACAGACAAACTACCCCAACCCCACTATTAATCCTGCTGGTGTGGGTATTATATAACCATTGATTTCATTGGTACGCACTGATTGAGACAACAGCTGCAATGGGATAATTGAGCAAAAGATTATTGCCAATCATGTTTGGTACCTTTCCACACTCTGATTGACAGCAGGGTAATTACTGATATTTTCTCACAATTAGTATGTAGAAGGAAAAAAGTGGTAAATTAACAAGGCTATAGATTAAAGTTGATGGGCTTGTGGTAACATCATCAGTATGGTTACACTTACTAGTTTCTTGATCAATTTTTCCCAGAGGTGAAGCTAAGCATTTAACTATCTCACTAATAGATCCTGAAACCTAGAAAACAGGAACAATATCAAATAATATAAATATACCAGCAAGACATGCATAGTTTTTTATTCCAGTATTTTTATTATTGGTGAACAACATATTGTTGCCCTCTGAGAGCCATTACCGGGAAAACAAAAAAAATTGTTCACATGATACCCTCTCACCCAATCAGAGTATGAGAAAAATGGACTTTCACAGTTAATGGTATAACGATGATGATGATTATGCTACATGATGATGATACAATGATGAATAGTTGCACCCTCAGCTTATAAGTATTCGTCATTATACTAACATACATTTTATGCTCATTCTTACCAGTAAAGAAGGTTTGGAGTTATTTTTATCAATTCCTAAATTGGCAGCTTGGCAGAGTAAAGAATTAGCCTGGAAAAAATAGAAATGTTAAGTTATTTCAGGAAAATAACAGTAATTACAATAAATCCATCCCTGTCAATAAAAAATCTAATTGCAAACTTAATATAATATTAATAAGTCAATCTACTGGGTTAACATAAATATTTGAAGTTTTTGTTATATTTTTGTGTGAGAAAAATGGATTTGAAGCACAGGTACTGGGATTGAGGTCACTGAGAATGGAAATTGGATGAAATCTTTAACCTCCAAATTTCATTGCACCCTAAAACAACCTCTGGGGTGATGTAAGTCGGCTAACTCATAGATCATCAGGGCATGGCTAACTCATATATCAAACCCTTAAAAAAACTTCAGGGCTGATCAAAGTCAGGGCATGGCTAACTCACAGGTCAAACCCTGAAACAACCTCTGTGCTGATCAAAGTCAGAGCATGGCTAGCTCACAACTAACTCTAGATAGATTACTTACAACAGCCACTTCATTGGATTTTGGAGGTCTGAAGGGTCGTTTTGGATATGTTTGACAAGTAACTGAATACTGACGAATAAGTTTTCTTGTTCTAATTGCATCATCATCAACTATGCTGAAGGATGACGCTCGCCTGTAAAGAGTACAAGACAATATAATAAACATCAATTTTGGCACCACTATCAATATTAAAAGGTTTGTAAACATTGTTCAGCATCAGAATTTCAGGAATCATACAGGAGTTTAATAAGAAATGTTTGCATATCATTTTTCTTCTGTTTCTTTTTTCCCTTTCTCAAGAGAATATTCTTTGTTTTTTCCTAATGTATACATTTTTAATCAACTAGAACTTACTTTGGTTGTCTGCTCCAAGCTTCCCTTGTACAAGTTGGGCTCTGTAATATATAAGACAGGCAATTATTAATCTTAATTCAAAGTCAGAGTTCAAAGAATATATTGAACTTCAATGTTCTAATAGGAAATTTAATTTGTTATACTCAGTGCATTTCTTTCATTGATATATTTATATAATATCTTGTTATTATAATAATGACAAATGTAAAATTGTAGTCCAACCTCATTCAGAGATGTCAAAAATAGAGGACCACAAGTTTATTAGTTGTGACTGTCACATGATTTGTGATTTATGATATTTTTTCCCACGAGGGGAGGGACACCACAACAGCATAGCCAATTACTGTAGGCCCTGTAGTGTTAGCATGTGCACTGAAAATGGTGGTCACCAGCGTCTTCAGTGGATCTTTTACAGATGTCACCCTCCAGGGCTTAAAATAATGGCTGCTAAGACGCTGGTCATGATGACCAGCAAAATTGGTTTTAGCTTTGTCATACCTCATTTCTGACTCAACATTACTGGTCAAAATGATTGGCAAGGCAAATATTTGACCAGAAAAGTTCCAATTCTGGGCAGACATTGTCTGATCTCCGGCTATTATTTTAAGCTCTGACCCTCAATAATTAAAGGTGATTGACCTACCTGCTTAGACGAAGAAACAGCTTCAATGTATACACTTTCATCTTCCTGTTGAATTAAGAAAAAGACACTGAGATAGAAACATGACTATATTATTGTTATTAAAATAGTAAACTGTACAATAGTATTATAGCATAGTATATTGTACCTTGATTGTCATAGGAGTAAAGCTATTAGACATCTGGGATGAAATAGCTCCAAAACTGCTACTTTTTAGTTGGCTTGATGGAGGAGAGGTATCAGACTGACGCCTGCAAAAAATGATCATCAAATTAGTACATATTATCACATATAGTATGATTTTCATAATTCATACATCACAGCTGACATCAAAATACCAGCTTTTCAATCTATAGAAGCAACAGATATATCAAAAAAGCGGCATAAATTATATTACACCAGAGATAACTCTCCCTACAGAGGCTTAGAGCCATCATGTGATACTAGCAGCCATGATAGTAGGAACAACAATAGTCTTTTTCCCCCTAGAAACTGGTTTTTTCTGTCATGTAAATCAGATTAGACCAGATTCAATTGTTCCTGCCTCCTGTCATGGCTGCCATCATGTGATGGTGCAAAGCCTCTATCAGCCCTATGCATGTTAAGTGCTTTCATACATGCAATGCACAAATTTCTCAAGTCACTTTACATTATTGAAAGTTTTAAAAATCAATTAGAGCTATGTTGCAACTCATTATTAATTAATAAGCATTTATTGTCAAATGTGATCAAAAGAAAACTAAATCGTATGTTATTTATAATATTGTGTTATATCTTGAGGTGGTTAATAATTATCAGAGTTTAACTTTTCAGCGTGGACTTCAGAAAATAAATAAAACAATTATCAAGAAAACAATCCTGCTTGCTAGTTATTTTAATAGTATTATTAGATTGACACCTTTCTTTCTGTACTGATACAATGGCTTCTTCCTTAAGGTTGTTTGGACACTCAGCATGTATTGGCATCAAAGATGCATCAGTCCATGACCTTGGCAAAGAGAAAACAATTCCTTTGGTTTAAATATTTATTATTTAATTGTCTTATGTAATCTTTATTATTTATTATCTATTTATTGCTTATAGATTTGTTGAATTGCCAGGTGCGTGGGACATGAGATATAGGAAGGGAAGACTTGTCTGAGATGAGTGTGTGAGTTTTAATTCATTTTCAACCCTAACACTTCCTTATTTCTTTATCGTAGTTCCTGAAAACATCCACCCTTATGCAAAAACCACAAACAAACAGTTAAGACAACGCTCCCTCTTCTTACCATTGAACTCCCTCAATCTTTTGCTTGGAGAATCAGATATTTTAATGGAACTACACAGTCATATGAAAAATACTGATACAAATTTGAAAGTTTTGAGAACTTTGTTGAAACTATTGTGAAAGTGGACTGTGGGTTCGAGACTATGCATAGCAACAGGCATTGCAGCTTTGGCTAGGCATGTCAACTGTCTGAATCAGAGAAATGGACTAAATAACAATCTTTGACAAATGTTTTATACTAGCATTTAGGCTGTTCCAATACCCAACTTTTAGGTCTAAATTATGCAACATAATAAAATTGTTTAAAATATTGATTGTTTTTACAAGTGAGTACTAACCTTTGCCTGCCTTGTCCACTAGATGGGATGGCAGAAAAACAGTACTTTTAATGAACTGATTTATATGTCATGGCATATTAATAAAATAACCTATTGATTGTGTGTGAATACATTGTTTGCATACCAGTCCAGCATAATTAAAGTGCATATGACACGAAAA